TAAAATATTTCAACGAAATAGTGCATATTTTTGATAACTGATTGAATTATAATTATTTAAAACAAATAATAAAATTTGAGGAATGTGGATTCTTTGCTGGGCAAGTTGGTAAGAGGAATATCACAGAAGACATAACCTTGAATGAGTTCGCTTAAAATCGCACTGAAAAGACGACAGCACACTTGTCACAAGAACAACATTCTCACCGATGACAGGTCACTGGCATCAACAGAAACCTGACAAGTAGCCCAACTACGTTTGAGCACAGACTTGTCCACCATAGCAGGACTGCAGTTGGCTTGCTGTGCATTCACTCTAATGGGATTTTTCATTGGCGAAGAGCCCAATTTTGACCTCAAAAAGTTGCGCACTTGTTGGTAGACCATCCTCGGAAGAGTTTCTAAGTCTTCAAACAGTTCGATCAGATTGATCAGCGTGTCAATGTAACGGCCCATGGCTACTGCATCATCAGGAATTCCGAACACCGCGACGGCTAGACACCGTGCCAGAGCCTCCGAGGACATTTTCGTCTCCTGGGTATTAGAGGCGATTTTGTGAAGAAGAGCGAGTAATTTAAGAAGGAGATGACGTTCAGGGACAGGAAGAAGCAGTTGGATGATGATTCGATAGGCAAGGAGCTGTCTTCCGTGGCAGAGAAGATGCATCCAATCAGTAGTGGAGTCCAGGGTGTAGACAGGATCCCCGTCCTTAAGGTTGTATTGCAGACTCGTGGTTTTTATAAAAAGGTCAGTGGCTTCGGCAGGAATGAGTCCGCTATCAGAGGTAGGGTTTATTCGGGCGGAGGAGAGGCAGCGAAGAAGGACACTGGTGACATCGTAAACCAGAGCTGACCTCAGCAAGTTGTAGACGGCCACTCGACGCTCCGAATGGCGATTGTGGATGGAAGGGATCGTGGATCGGGGGACAGTGGACGATGTATTGGATAGAAACGTCAAGGAAGCACCTGAACGAATTACACATCTGCCTATACTTTTTGACATTAAACACTCTTTCAAGTCACTGTACAACTGTTTTGTTCGCGATAAACTGCCTGGACGGCGAAATAGACCTTCTGTTAACACCAGACCTAAAAAAAATGAGAATTAGAATGGCAATGAGTCGTTTTCATCATACATTCATCGAGACTGGAAGGTAATAAAAAACATACCAGGAGTTTCCAGCATGAAGTCAGAAATATAGCGGCAAAGGATATAGTCAGGATTCTCATAATACGGAAATCCTTGTGAATGTTTGTTAACGTCAGAGAAATCGGACGTGGAGGCGGACGTCAATTTCGCGTAGGTCGTTGATGGTGTCACAACTGAAAGATGAACAGTGAAGTCTGACCAGAAGCTATCTGAATGCAAAACACAACCGATTGTGCGCAAAGGACCACCTTCGAGGTTGAGCCATTAATCTCACTCCAACTGATTACTCTTTCAGGGCCTGAGGGGAACCTCCTTGAGGAGGGTAGTACTAGTATCTGTTGATGGCGTTCTCGCAAACTACAGCTAACCATGGAAGTGCAAGCACAAACGTGTCCATAACCGAGGCACTAAGCCTGACATTTCACAAACACATCTTTCTAGATTAAAGCAAGCGCGAAAAATATCACTGAGGCAATATGGTAATAGTTTGACACACGCCTAACACATCTAGCAAGTGCTAAAGGAACGCCTGCATGTCAAAGCACAACGTCTGCTCTTTCAGTGTCTAAATTGAATCGACCAAAACAAGTTGATTCACACCTTCCTCATTTTTGGTTAATAGATCAGATGGAAAGCGCTTCATTATTATTGAGACCTGGGGTGCTATTGCGTTTTGTATGGAAGTACCGAAGCCTCACAACTAACCTTAGAATGGAGGTTCAAAGCTTAGCATGGATTTTCATGCATATCAAAAGACGCACTCTAGGACGCACAAAGCTTAGCAGAGTAAAATTTTCCACAACTCACATCTTATCGAAACTGCCAAAATTTGTTTCTTTCAGTCTAGTAAACCTCGCAATCGCGCTACAACTCACCAGACACTGAGCGATTCATACTTGCCAAAGGAGCAGGAGAAGAGTTCGGTGTGAAAACTGACAGCTTTGAAGGCAACAGGTACTTTCCCTTCAGCCAGGCCAGTTTCTTAGACGTCGACTTGGACGGCGTGGAAGCCAAATGTTCCGTTTGATTACCTGTTGAAGAGTGCTGTCTCGATGTCACTGCCAACGTCTCCTCCTTGGTCTGTGGGAGCGGTGGCGAACGCGATCGAAGCCGCTGCGCCTTGCCTTTCAGTATGCAGCCACGTTGACACGAGGATGAGGAAGAGGCAGCAGGGGCAAATGTTGAGGAGCCGACCAATTGAGACTGAAGTGGCCAGCCCTCATCAAAATATTCGTAATTGAGTTCGAGGAATGTGGCTAATGTGAAGTGGCAAATTCGGAGGAGTTCACGAGGCTGCGTACGTTGGAAAAGATGCACTAAGTACCAAGCCTCCTCGCTCTCTTCTCCAGCCGCTAATCCCGCCGCTCGTTGGAGCATTTGCGCCTGAAAGATACAGTGTTTGTTCATCTCGCCTTAAAGTCGCCATTGTTTCAATATTTGCATATGGACTGGGGATATGCTAAATGAGATGGTTCGGTCTCGCCACTTTAAAAAAAACAAGGCTGAGTGAGGTCACCAAAGCGTATCAACATTAGAGTGGATTCTCGCCATGACAACAACCAGGGCTTACATTTCCAATAGAGGGGAAAAGACCACCACGGTGATGCAGCTAACACAATAAATAAACATATTTAAGCACTAGTTTTCTTAACGTTGTATGGCTACGATCAATTACACATGAAATGGTACGTATGTAATAGAAGAGCAGCAAGTTACTAAATTTTAGTAATAAGTACTAGTGATGACTACCTTAATAGAAGTGCCGTCAGTTGTCATAACAGCCGATCTTTTGAACAGACGCGGACTTATTCTCGATCAGCCCAAAATATAATTGCCACGAGTGAGCTAAAGAAGACGTCCCAACGAAGAGATCAAACTCATGCAAATGCGGAAGTGCTGCCTCATCAGTAGTTATGATTCACACATCGCATCTCGTGACCAATAGGACATTTGCCCTATTCCTATTGGTCAGAAGGGTCAGAACGACAGCAACCCCTTTGATTCCTCAAAATTCTATTGGTCCAATGATTGTTTGCATGTCGACTTCAGTAATGGTTTTGTTATACTGGTTTTTGTAAAAAATAGACGAATGGGATCTTTTTAAGTTTGGACTTCAGAAGTATTGAGAGTAAATCATCAGTGACGTTGGGAGTTAAATAGGCGTGCATTTCATTTGGACTGTATCAGGATGGCCTCTACATCTATTTTTCAACATTGTTCTTTCCTAAACCTAAATTATATACGATTGAGATTGATTTTGTCACGTCTTTAGTCGTGTCGGAGGAGTCACCTATTTGTCAGCTGCTAAAGTTGGATTTCCACCCACAAGAGGCTTAAAGGGTAATCTTTGGAGAGCATAGCAATTTACTAACAGAGGCTTTCGAGTCAAATTAGTAAAATGTTAGTCAAGCACGTCCGTGTTTGTGAAAAACAATGCCTCTGAATCATCACTTTAGCTGCCATTCTCGTGCCACCTTAAAGATTGGGACTGTGAAGAGGTGTAGTCATTGTTTATATTAAATAGAAACCGGTCAGCACTGGTAGAAAATGCATTTTTGGTTATTCGGTTGGAAATGCTATCATAGTAGCTGTAGGACTTCGGAAGAATAAGAAGGGAATTGGGGTTTGCCATTGCTCGAAATGCTATCAAGTTGTGGATCACCCTTAAAGCTCTCTTAATAAACCCAGATTTGCACTGAGGATAAATTTGAATAACGTACCAGTGTGGGTAGATAAAAATACTAAGGTCTTCCGAATAAGGTGTGATTAGATTTCCATGGTCTAATCGCTTTAACTCCTCTCAAGCCGTACAAGAAAGAAAAGCACCTTGGTATAAAGAAAGAGACGTTCTCCCTAACAAATACTGGATGTTGCCCTCACCACCCGCAGTGGGACTAAAAAGTCAAGCACAACTGCATGTATGCATTCCATGCACGGGATCATGTTGACATGAATCAAAGCAATACACACCTACTAGACATCCAGCAACAGTTCTCTCAACTCTCCAAGTACTTAATTTGCGGGAAACAAGTTCAAGCTTCTGTTTGTGGCAGGACTCCTTCATTAGCACACACTGTGATCCGGTTGGCAAAACGCTTTCGAGTAAAGCCGCTTTCGAGAACGAGACATAGTCATCCAGCCTTCAATAAGAGATCCTCTTGAGTAAAGACTTGGTTCTGACTTCAAAAATTGTGCTTCGATCTCCACCAAGATCCTTATCTTCTATAAACTCTGTTTTGCTAGAAAATTGGGATAGCTCGATCGGTGAAGGATGGTAAGGATCGTGAGCTCATTCTTTGGGTTGTTGAAGTAAACCATCTCTTTATGGGCTAAGGGAGTTTAGGTGAGTAATGCTTTCCCAAATTGAGCTATTTCCAGCATTTCCGGTTTCACTAACAATAATGTGTTCGTGTTTGCAAAAGTGGGCAACCTGGGCCAGAAAATCCTTTGTTAACTTACTGGACCATTCGGATAGAATGATGCTAACCAATGAATCCGCAGAAGAAATCAAGGAATTGAAATCTATGGCAAGTTCTCTTCGATTACTAAAATAATTCCTGATGGAGTCGATAAAAGGTCGACTTCAATTCAGCCATAGCGCAGTTGTTAACAGAAGACGAGGCGTTTACGACACTTTTTAGTGTCACTGAAAATCGGTATCTACATTTTTGTTCCAATCGTTGCTTGAGTTTGCTTTGGCTTCTTTAGTCATTCTCTGTCTTGGTGATCCCGATCACATGCACGTTCCTGCGTCTCCCACGTCGGTGACAGACAGCTGGTCCGTCCAAGGTAGAATTGTCAACTCGTTGCAATTACAGCCTGCCATTCAGCTCACTTAGCGAAAAGCGGAGAATCCTAAACTGACGCTAGACTGATTTAAGCGCCATGGTAATTCCTCAATTTATTGGCCGTAATTTGAATCACAAATTCGAGATGAGCAATAAAATGAAGTGTCGGTGTAACCAAGAAGAATCTCACTGGATGGTGGCCATGGGTTTCATAATCGACGTGACCCAATGAACCAGTGTCAGCCATAATTCTACCTTTTTCATGATGGCAAATGGTCTTGTGAAAAAAGCCTTTTTATCCACTTCTCTTGCTCTTTTAAATCCCAATGAACACGTCGTAGTAAGCATCTTCAACAAACGTTCTAAAAAGTTTGCTATTTCATCGATACTGGCCTCATGTTACTCCCTTTGCTAATATGCAGCCTTTGTGATTTTCAACAAGGTACTGCACAAAGTTGACTTTAAGTTGACCTCTGCTCCCACCTACCGATGGAGTGGTTCTCTGAGAAAACGGACGATGCCAAGTACAGCGAATGTGTGCATGCGAGTGTAAATGTGCACCACTCGTGCATATATGGTCAGCCAGCTCATGTGCACCGCAGACAGGTTAAACTTCAATTGCATCTTTTTTGCAAGGCACCAAACGTTTATTCTTCCCCTTTCGCAAATCACACATCCTTTGTTCTTTGATCGTCGAGTCAAACTGGGATGTGTGTCCCTTTTTAACAAGGTTGAAAGATGATTTTTGATTCATTCTTCCTTTTTGGTTTGGCAATAAAATGCCTCTCGGTTGGATGTAAATGGACTTAATATCGGGTGCACAATGAATATAATCCCTACTACGGTCAGTCCCTTTTCTCTGGAAATAAGGGCTGGTGCCTTTGAAATGGTAATAGTTGGAGAACCTGACTAATTGCGATGCGTTGTGAAAGACATGAGCATTGAGTGGATGAAGCGAGGCTGTCAGACAGATAGGCATCCAGGGCCTTTGAAGTAAAATCAAAATTTTTTTCAGTCACATAACTGCTTTAAACACCAAGTCGGAGCACTTCGCACGTGGACAAAGTGAATACACAAACACACCCACACACAGACACGTCGGAAATCGAGGCCTCCATTCTTAACAAAGAAGTGGATCTTGCTGACCACCTGTCGGGTCCTCGTGGCCCCTGCATGAACAGTTGATATGACGGCACAAATACAAAAAACTGCGTTCGAATTTTCGCCACTGGAGCCCTAATCCACTGACAATGAGACCTTGGGCATTTGTGGTTCGCAATGAATGACGTGACCGCACCGAATCACCTTTTTACTTAATGGT